TGCCTTGCCCACAACTGACCCGGTTCTCTCTCTGGCACCCCATGTGGTTCCCTGAGCCCACCAGAAGTGATCCCTGAACATCGCCGGGTGTGGCCCAACAACCAAAGACATAAAAACAAAACAAACACAACCTACTGCAGATGTCGCTCCACCCAACAGGTGGTAGGACATCTAGGCCCAGAGAGTCGTCAGGTGGGCATTCCTGGAGCCCAGGGTGGGGGGGGTTGAAGGAGAGGGGATCTTCTGGGAGTGCCGATGCCAGGCAGGTGCCCCAGCCACAACATCAGTGCCACCCCAACCAGCTGCTCTGCACCCCTCCTTGCCCCTGTTCAGATGTCCAGGCTCCTGGACCCGGGGCTGGACATCCCTGCATGGCACTGTAGCTGAAGCAGGCTGCCCTGGTCAGTGTGGAGATGATTAGCAAGCAGACTTGGGGCGGGCACACCTGTGACTCACCAGGAATTTCTGCGATGTCTCTATGGGTACCCTTAGGCGGGGTTAGGCCCATCTTCCTAGTGTGACCTCACACAACACCAGCACCCCTTCACACACACCCCCAAAATACCTAAGAACTTTCATGCTGCTTAGCTGAGATATAAAGGAAACATAGATTGGGGCTGGAATAATAGTACAGCAGGTTAAGGCTTTTGCAGGCAACTCAGGCTTGATCCCTGGCACCCTATCTGGTTCCTTGAGCACAGAGTCAGGAGTAATCCCTGAGCACAGATTAAGGAGTAACTCCTGAGCATTGCCGGGTGTGGCCCCCCAAACAGAACAAAAGGAAATATGATTGGCTGGTCAGATGACAGCAATGACAAAATTCAAAGTGGGTTTGGGTTTTATTTTGTTGGTTGATTTAAAAATTTTTTTTTTGTTTGTTTTAGAGACAGGGCATGGCCAGCAGTGCTGAGGTGCTGCTCCCAGCTCTGGGGACCCTGAGGTGCTGCAGATGTATCCCGAGGGTCGTTCAGGCAAAGCCTGTCTCCAACGATCTGAGATGGCTCCCTGAACTGGGCTCAGTCGGCAGTGCTCCCTGGAATGCCCTGAAGGTGAATGAATGACACCCCCCCCCCGACCTCCCGTGCACACAGAGCACCCACTGTGTGCAGCAGAGGGAGGCGACTTCACAGGCACCTTTGCTAATCTAAGGTGCTAAGGATGACGAGGCCAAGAGGGGAGGGTGGGGGGGCATCTAGTGGCCTGCGGGGTGGCCACAGAAGAGGTTTTGAGATGGGTTCTTAGAGGCTAAGAGACCCTGGACCCTCCCCTTGGATCTGAGTCACTAAGAGAAGAAAATGCAGGATTAGAGGTTTGCCCTGTCAACCGCTCCCGGCATCACAGCGGGGATCCCCTTGAAGGTGCGATGCAGGTGCACCTGGGCCCAGGCAGAAGCGGCTCTAAGAGCCCTGCGGGTCCCCTTCTTTCACCTTCTTATAGGACTCGGGGATCGCTCATTCTGACCCCCTCCTGGGGCCCGCCCCCTTCCACCTCCTAGCGGGGCGAAACTGGAGGACTGCAAAGCAGATCAAGGCCGTTCGCTCAAGAACTGCGCGCCCCCCGCAGCGCGGCGCTGACTGCCCGCCAGCCAGCGGACTTGACGCCGGGCTATCAGCACCGCCGCCAGGGGGCACGCTCGAGTCGGCCGGCGGGCGGCAGCGCCGACCCCATGCGCCCCCGGGAGTCCCAATGACATTGACCGCTCCCTCTTTAGACTTCGGGCATTTCCAGGGCTTTCTCTCCCCTCTGGGCTGTTTAAAGAAAGCAGGAGGCCCAGGATGTGGCTCTGTGGTAAAGCGCGCACTCTGCACGCGTGAGGCCCGGGACCCTCGCCCCCGCCTCCGCCCCCCACCCCAGACCTCGCTGCGGGAATTCCTGAGCGCCCCCACCGCGCTCGGGCCCGCATGCCTGCAGGTGGCCTCTAGCTGCTCAGCCTTCGGGCGGCCTCCCCGGGCGCCCGCTCAGAACCGGTCTGCGGCTCGGCTCCGAGAGATCTTAGGAGCAGGTTGACAGTTGCCAGCACCCCCCACCCCCCGCCTTGGGTCAGACACCGCCCAAGCCCCCGGCGCCGCCGTCCTGCACTTGCTGGTGGGAGCCCCGTGGCTGCAGCCGTGTCCCTCGCCCTCGAGGCCCGGTCCGGCTCCGGGACACTCGCCGCCCTGGCGGACGTCCCTGTCGAACTGATGGGAGATTAACCCTGGCTCGGCGCAGACGGCCCGGCCGCCGGTTTCCCGGAGCCCGCGGGGCCCGGCACACTCGGCGCGCCCCAGAGCGCGCATCCGAGGGCGCCAGCGCTCCGCAGGGGTGCGGTCCCCCCCCCCCCACGCATTCACAGACACCCCAAGGGCTTCCCACGTGCCACCCTCTGCCCGCGGAGCCCATCGGCCCGCGGAGGGTGGAGACCGCGGCGGGCACCACCCTCCCCGCGCCCAGCTGGGCACGATCGCGCCCCCTCCCCGGCAGGGCTATCTATTGCGGGAAGGGTGTTTCCGCTGGCGATGCGGGGCGCGGCGCGCTCTCCCCCTCCCCGGCTGGGACCATTCCTAGGTACCCACCGGCAGCGCTGGGCGGGCAGGAGGAAGGAAATTAAGCCGGTGTTGAAGGAAGGACACCTGGCAGGGGAGGGGAAAGGGCTCAGGAATCCCCTCCTCTGCTCGCTTTCAAGTGGAGGGAAATCCCCAGACAAGCTTCCACTCTCCGAGGCGCCGCGCCCGGCCACTGCAGGTTCCCACACGGCCCCTCCAGCCCTCTCCTCCTCTCCTTCCCCAGGCCGGTGGCCAACAAAAGTCCGGGGTTCCACCCTCCCACCCACTTGTTTCACTGTTCTCTGCCCTTCCCTCTCCCCCACACGGGACCTGCCGCCGGCAGGAAGAGACATAGGGGCATCAGGGGCACACGTGGTCTTGTGGGGGGTGGTCATGGGTCTGGTCCGCATCACTCAGGACCCTTGGTGGGTGCCTCGCTGGCCCCACCCCACTCGCAGCTGAGGGGGCCCTTCGCTACTCCAATTCTCCCCCGTGGGCTGGTGCCTGTAGCGTCTCTGAGGCCCAGAAACCACCTAGATTGGCCCCGGGGACTCTCGTTTTGTCTGTCAGTGACTAGGGAAAGCGTCAGAAGGACAGCTATGAGGCTCCAGAGCCCCCCAGGTGTCAGGCAGGATCTGAGTTCCAGCAGGTATTCAGAGGGCCAATTGGAGCCCCCCACCCCACCCAGTGCCCTGCTGAGTGGAACTCCAGGACAGCGTGGGTGGGGAGGGTCTAAACAGGCTCTTCATGCGCTGCTCAACCTGAAACTGGGGGCTCGGAGTGCTCTGAGTCAGGGACAATGTGGCAGGTTTACCGCAGCCCCATTACTACCTGGTGAGTACATTCAAGGCATCCCAAACCGCCCTCTTTGGGGCATCTGAAGGATCTGCACTTCTGCAGCCTCCACTGGCTGGGGCACCAGCAGGTCCCTCTGTGCCTGTGCCCCCGCCCCCAGCATCCCCCCTTCCCCTTCTCTCCAGCCTTCCCTGTTCCTCCCGCTCCCCCACCTCTCCAGGGCTGGTCCCTTTCCTCCCTCTCCTCCCCTCCTCTTTCATCTCCTCCCCCTCCCGTTGCACACGGGCTCCGAGCAGGGTTGAAGCTGTGACAAGCCCAGGCGGCTCTCCGACCCCCGGTGCCCCTGGGCCAATTCCCCAAGCTCCGGGAGCTGCCGCAGCCACGTTCAGAGCGGGCTCCCGGGCAGGGCATTGGGTTTGAGCCCTGGGCACGGGCACCCCAGATCAAAGTCGGGAGCCTCTGACTCCCTGACCTGGCCTCTTTCCCACCTTGAGGAGAGCCAGCCGCTCTGGACCTCGGCAGGACTTCCCTCTGGCCCCAATCCTACTCCCCCTCCTCACCAACTTGCCTCGCCCCAGGGCCCAGGAGGGGTGGGGAACAGGCCACCCAAGTGACAGGGAGCAAAGCCTCAGGCCTCAGCAACGCTGGCCACACAGGACTGGCCCCTGATTCTCAGTTTCAGACCACTCAGGGCTGACCACTAATTCCTGGCCTGGGTGAGGGAGAGGCGAGGAAACCGGGTGAGGGAGAGGCGAATGTCCCGAAGGGACATTTCCCTGGGGTGATCAGTGGGGTGTTTGGGCGCAATGGTGCCCCCCCCAGAGGAAACATTATTACAAGCACCCCCCACACCACACACAAACACACCGCAGGTGGTGGGAGTCCAAGACTGGAAGACTCCGCTGGGTTCGCGTGAGGGGACACCAGACCCCAGCCCCTCCCCTACAAGATCTAAATGGGACTGCGGGTCCGGCGCGGGCAGCCCCAGGTACCCCTCCAGGAGGAGAAAGTGCCGGGCTCAGGGGCGCAGTAAAAGCAAGTGGCCGCCGGTGTCAGTTGCAGGAAATGCAAAGGCAGCAGGAGGTCCCCGATACCGATCTGATCCCTGACAAAAGACTCAAATGACACTCGGCTCGGTCCCCCGGCGCCGCCCCGCAACCAGCCCTGCGAGACCCCCGCGGGTCCGGGCCACGCTTCTCCGAGCCCGGGAGAGGCCACCTCCGCGGGCCGGGGTGCGGGGCCGGCGGGCGCGCGGGCTCGGGGCGGGGCGAGGAGGTCCGACCGTCCCCGAGTCCCCCACCCCGAAACCCCCGGAGTCCCGTCCTGCCCCGAGCCTGCCCGGTGCCCAGCTCCCGAGCCTGCGCCGCCACCCCTCCCGGTCTCGACCCCTGCGCGGGCACCGTCCCCCACCCACCCCCAGCTCCCCCGCAGCGACACAGGCCGCCACCCACGGCGCCCGGGCCGCCCGGCCCCGCGGGAGCGCCCCGCCGGCAGCCGAGGGTCGGGGCGCGCCCCCGCGCGCGGCTCCCAGGTCGGCCGGCCGGGCCCTCGCGCGCGCGGGCCGGGCCGGGGGCCGGGCGCGGGCGTGATTGACAGGCGGGCCGCGCGTCCGCACCTCGGGCGGCGCGCGCTGATTGGCTGCCGCCTGACATCCCCACGCCGGCTCCGCGCCCGGCGCGCGAGGGGGGCGGCTGCGGGCGGAGGTGCGCTCGCCACCAGCCCCAAAGTCATTTCCCATCTCCCGTGCACTTTGTTCCAACTATTGGGGGCGTCGCTGCCCCTCTTCATGGTCGCGGGCAAACTTCCTCCCCGGCGCCGCTTCTAATGGAGCCCCACCTGCTCGGGCCGCTCCTCGGCCTCCTGCTCGCCGGCACCCGCGTCCTCGCCGGCTACCCAATTTGGTGGTAAGACTCGCCCCTGGGCACCCCGGCCGGACCTCGGCGCCGAGTCCCCGGGCGGTGGGGGGGCTGGGGGGCTAGGTGGGCTGCCGCTCCTTCTCCCCGGCCTCCCCTCCGGGGAAACCCCCTGCCCGCGCTCCGCCCGGCGCCCCTGGATTTCCCGCGGGTGTCGCCTTCGGAAACCCACTCCCGGCTCCCTCGGATCATCACCATTTTCCTGCGACTCGCTGCAGAGGCCCGAGCGCCCGGCCTGTCTCAGAAGGTCCCCGAGCTCTCACATTCCAACCCTGCGGTCGTCCCGTGTGTCCCCCTCCCTCCCCGACCCTCCCGTCGCTAGCCATTGGGGTTTCTGGAGAGCCCGCCTGTTCCCCCCCGCCCCCCGCCAGGGGCCCGGCCTCTCTTCTACTCCATTTTGGGGTCTCCTGGGCACAACCATCCCGTTTCCTTCATTGCCACCCCCACCTCCGCCGGCGCTCGCATGGGTGGGGGTGTGAGATTTCCCTTCCTCCCCACCCCTCCTCTTCCCCGTCGGCCTTCATCTTGGAGCCCCCCAGTAGCTTCGGGGTAGCTTCAGGGATCCCCGAAGCCCGGGGGAGACAGGGGTGGAGGTGGGGGTTCGGCTGATTTCCCCCCCAAACACACACACTGTGCTCTACATTCATCTTGCGCCTCAGAAGTGAATATGGTATTTGCTGATCCGAGATGCCATTGAATTCGGATTTTATTCATTTCTTGCTGGTCCATCCTGCCACCCCCGAGAAGGGGGGGCTCCTTGAAAAACGGAGTTGTTTCAGAGGAGGGTGGATCTGTTCTTTCACCCCAAACCCCATTCTCCATGTCAAATTCGTTCCTTTTGGGGGAAAAAAAATGAGGACGGAGGAGAAAGGGAGCCGGAGAATTCTGTCCCTGAGAAAGGCGGATACAAAAGACGATTTTCGTGTCTCGGGCTGGGGAGGCAGCCACAGCGTGTATACGGGAGTGTGTGTCTGTGGGGGGGGGGGCAGGCAGGGGTCTGAGAAATAAACAGTCTGTTGGGAGTGAGCCCCCCCCATTCTGGAGAGTCCCCTTGTTTTTCAAGCAGCGACCCCCTGTCTCCCCCCAGCAGGTCCCCGAGGCCAGAGGGGAAAGGCACTAACATGTCCTCCCCCAGTGCCCCCCGCATTCCGGAAAACTTTAATCAGAGTCTTTCCCTCTGGACACTGGACAGCCTTGGCCGCGGGGCTGGGGGGTTCAGGATCTGTGAGGGAGAAGCTGGCCCCCCATGTGTGTGGGGACAGTAGTGCTTTCAGGGTACAGCCCCACCTGGAGAACCGCATCCCCCATCTCTGCCTCAGCCGGGCACCCCCTCCCCAGCCGGAGAGGTTGGGGGGCCACACCCCAAGTCTGTCTCTGGTTGTTTGCAGGTGGCCGCATTTGTGTCTGGTTGTCTGGGGGCCTCGAGGGGGATCGGAAGGGGGGCTAGAGCGTCAGGACGGACCCCCAGGGGCAGGCTTTCTCCTGCCCAGCATGTCCTCCGGGCCAGGCTGGCTACATAAAGATGTCTGTGGGGGGGCTGGCTGCCGGGATTCTGGGCTGGAGGCTCTGCAGGTTGGGGGAGGCTGTTGGAATCGAATCTTGCGCTGGCCTTACCCTCCGCCCTGCTGGCTTGCTGGCTGCTCGGCCTGGCTGCTCCTTGTCCTTGCGGGGACCCGGGTGGGGGAGACTCGGCGGAGATGGGGAGCTCCAGGCAGTGGCGGGAGTGACCCGGTCCTCCGCCTCCCCCGCCAGAGGAGGGCTAGGGCTGTTGGGGGCTGGGGGCTGGTGCATGGGGATGTTGGGGGGCATCACACAGGGACCACCCAATAGGAAAAGGCATTGCAGGAACCCAGGCACTGGCCCAGCATCATGTTGGACACACGGCTCGTGGGGGTCTTGGGGGACAGGGATGCTGCTTTGTCTGCGTGAAGGGGGGCTCGTGTGCATTTTCTGGGTCTGTGGTCTTGGAGTGTCAGCCTCGGGGCTCTGCGCCTGCCCTGGGAAGCTGTGGGTGCTGAGGGGTGCCCGGGACTGTGGCTCGCCACGGGGTGCCATGCAGGGGGGTGGACAGACAAACCTGGGTGTCTCTGTGCCCATGTGTCCACATCCATGATGGGGTGTGTGAAGAGTGCGTGTGTGTAATATGTGGGTGTGTGGGGTGTGGCGTATGTATAGCGTGTTGTGGTACATGCTGTGTGTGGTATCTCTTGCACAGTGTCTGTGTGCTGTGAGTTATATGTGTATGTGTGTATGTGTGGTATACTGTGTGTGTTTGATGTGGAATATCCTGTGCTGTGTGTGGTGTGTGTCTGTGGTGTGTGTGTGTGTGTGATGTGTGGGATGTGTTCTATGTAGTAAACATGATATGTGGTACATGATATGTGGTATACCTGTGTGGTTGTGGAGTATGTGTATGTGTGTGTGTGTGTGGCATGGGGAGTGTGGTGTCTTGTGGGATGTGTGTGTATAGTGTGTGTCTGTGGTGTATTTCTGTATGGTGTGATGTGTAGTATGTCTTTGTGTTGTATTGTGTGTGGGGGGTGGTTGTGGTATGTGGTCTTTGGTGTCTTTCCGTGTGTTGTGTTGTGCATGTGTTATATATGTGCCTGGTGTGTCTGTGTGATGCGTTTATGTGTGTTATATGCATGTGGTGTGTCTGATGACTGTGTGTCTCTGTGTTGTGTTTCATGTGTGTGTGGAGTGCATTTGTGGTGTCTGCATGGTGTGTTGTGTATACGTGTTGTATGGATTGTGTGTGTTGCATTATGTGGGGTGTGTGTTGTGGATGTGGATGTGCATGCGTGAGTCTTCTGGCAGCGGGGGATGCCCACAGCTGGGCCTTTGTGCGTGGGTTTCCATGCTCGTGGCAAGTGTGAGGAGGTCAGGGCCTGTGGCTGTCTGTGGGGGCCAGGCTGCCTGGGTGTGGCCCGAGCCGGGCAGGGGTTGGCTAGGCCTGAGGAGGCAGCAGCAGGGCGAAGTGGGGCCCCAGATGCTCCCTCGAGTCGCAGCCCCAGGGGAGAGCCGTGGCTTTGGTCTTGGCCGTGGGGTGGAGGCTGAGTCACTTTCTCAGGCTGGGGCCGGGGGCGCCTGCCCGGGACAGGGCCAGGGCCAGGGACCGGGCAAGGGACTGGGCGTGGACCCCAGCTCCAGTTCTGCCCCTGGTGTCCAGCCCGCACAGCCTGTCCTCGCCCTCCGCCCACCAGCTCACACAACATCTCCAGGTCAGAAAGCTGGGGTCTCTGGCCACGGCACCCTAAAGGAAAACAGCCGCACGGCCAGGCCCGACCTGGGGCGGCGAGGGGCTTCTGGAAGGTTGTCCGGTGGGCTGGCGACAGGCGGGGGCCGAGCAGATCGGGAGGGTGACAGCAGCCCCACTTCCCGGCTCCTGGAGGAACTAGTCTTTCTTCTCCAGCCAGGGGGCTAGGAACCTGTCTTCTGAGGCCCAGCCTGGTGCCTCGACATTCCTGCATAGCAGCTGGCTGGGAGGGGCCTGTGCTGGGGGTCAGGGACGCACCCCTGGCCGTGCCGCACCCCTGCTCGGGACCAGTGCTCTGGGCTCTGTCCCTAACCATCCAACCACTGGTCTGGCCCCCTGGGAGCCGAGGGCAGGGACCTGCGGCAGGAGAGCCCCCCAACCCCACTCTCTTTCCATCCCCCCATGACCCATGTGTCCCCCCCCCCACTCCCCTCCCTTCCCTAGGCCCTGCCTCAGTTTCCCCATCTGCCAGGTGTCCTGCTGCCCCCCACCCCCACCCCACCCGCCTTTCAGAGGCTCCGAACATGTTCAGTCAGACCCCGTGGGGTCAGTGGGCTGGGCCCAGGGAGGCACCTGGAGAGTGCGGGGGAGGACGGCCCCAGGCCAGGTGCGAGCACTTGTAACAGGCAGGAATTACAGCGGCTGGGCTGGGCCGGGCTGGCGAGGAGCTGAGCTGGCTGGAGGCTGTTGATCCCACAGACAGACAGACAGACAGACAGATGGGCAGATACCAGAGCTGATGGCCTGGCTTGAGTTGGGGGTAGGGGGTGGGGGGAGGTCTCCCTTCCAGGTCGAGCCTTTTCCTTCCCTGGGGGGATGTGGCAGAGAACTGAACCCAGACTCCAGCCGCCACTGCCCCCCACCTGGGGGGGGGCGGGGGTGTGTGTGGTGAAGCCCTCAGGTCCTGAGTGGCTGATGATGGCACCCGGGGGAACCTGCTGGAATATCAGGGGACGAGGGTTGGGGCAGAAGATCAGGTCGGGGTCCTGAGGATGTAGGGGTGTGGACTGTCCACCTAGGGGGAACCGTGTGGGCAGAGGAGCGGCCCTGGGCACTCTTTCCTTTCCTGGTGACCAGTCCATCCTGCACAGTGCTACTGACCACGGGAAACAGGGAGGCAGAGAGGCCTGTTGGGGGAAGTGCCCGAGAGTGGACTGGCCGAGCTCTGAACCCCGTTTATGTTGGGGGGGCTGAGTCGGGAGCAGGAAAGAACTCTCCTTTCGTTTGTATTGTCTCGGGGTTCCACACCCAAGTGCTCAGAGATCACTCCTGGAGGTACCGGGATGGACCCGGGATCTGCCACCTGCCAGGCGAGCTCCTGCCGCCCCCACCCCTTTCCACTCTCTGGCCCAAGAAAGAACCTTCTGGTCTCAGAGTGCGATGAGCCTGAGGGTTGAGGAGGACCTGCTTTCTAGACTTTTCCACCCGCTCTGTGAGCCACAGACCTCTGCAAGCTCCTGACCCTGGCTGCCCACCCCCCACTCAGCTCTTCCACCTCCCCCTGCCCACCTGAAGCAGTTGTTGTTGCCCAGAGCCTATCAAGTTCACTTCTGTGCTTTTCCGGTACTGCCTGGGTCACTTAAGGCAAGTGATCCGACATCTCTGGGCCTCAGTTTCCATGCTGGTAACGGCCCCCACCTCGCAGTCTTGGTGTGCGGATTCCTTGAGAGCATCACAGCATGCTCTGGACACACTCCCCACGTGTGGTGGGCTGTTGTGTCACCTTGATATCCTG